TTCCTTCTCTTCCTTTTAAATCATCCTTAAAGTATACACTGTTATCCTTACTTGTAAAATTAACTTTTAACACCGCTATAGGTTTTGCTATAGATAGCCTTCAGAATAGGGGGAAATATGCATTTGTTGTGCTTCTCTTCCTTTATCTAGACTAGTTCTGGTTCTCTTCATGCCGATACCATTATTCCTCTCATTATATATTATATATTTCTCTCATTTTCCCATGCCCTTTGTTTCCTCTTCTCCTTCTTAGGGACTCAATCTGGACGAATGCTCCATGTACGAGGACATCTCCAGGGGTCTGCAGGCCACTTACCAAGACATCGGAAACGTCAAAGTGATCGACCTGCAGCTGGAGAAACCGGAGAAACCGTGACCAAAAGGATCTTCCTTGCTTTGGGTTCGTTTGCAAGGAGCCCTTTCGGATTCCCGAATATTCTCTCTCCATTTAGTCTGCAAAGGAATTTTTTTGGGGAGGAGGAGGAATTCTGTATTCTCCCATCACTTGGACACTGACACTTTGCAAAACCATTTCAGGTCTACGGTAAGGACATTAAATGGATTGGGGTTGGTTCTGCTTTGCCAGCCTTCTGGTTTTTACGAAACAGCTTCCCTTTGGATCTTTGGATCTCCAGACAGAATATTCCGAAGAGTAGCGTCTCCATTTAGCCATTCCTCATTCTCTTTTCCCATCGTCGACGTCTTGGGAAACTAAGCTTCCATCCGTGTTTCTGAGATACAATATTCCTTTTAGTTATTATATTCACTAAAAATTTCCTTTTATAGTTATATTCGCTAGGATGCGACGATTACGCTTGCCGAATTAATTCTTCCAGAACTTGCGCCGGCTTTCATCTTCCTTTCTTTGCGCGAAAAGAGACATATTTATAGAATGATAGATGTGGCCTTTGATCAAAAGAAACCCTTTCCTCAATACCGAGCCGAATAATACGGGTGCAAAAATGGTCCGGCGGCTTTGAAGCAAAACCTGGTTGTGGACAGTGCTAATTGCTTGGCGCTTCTAAGGTCGTCATTTACACAAAGTCTAGAGGCTTCCCTTGGTTAAAACAAATTTATTTTTTCCCAAGCAATGGGCCTGATTTATATCTAGGAGTGGGAGAGATGCAAGAGGAAGAATGGCTTTTGGTTTCAGACAGAAATAACGACACTTTTCATGTTTATTTCCATAAAGTCGCAAATTCATAAAGTAGTAATTCATAATCCTGTTTTGATATGGCCACAGAATTAAATGTTGGTTGCTGTTTTTCAAACGTTTCCTGAACTGTGATGTTAATAAAATAACAAAATATTTTATTTTGTATACATCTAATTCTTTGTCATTGATACAAGGTAGAAGAAGATGTATTGTATAGTCAGCCCTCCATATCTAATGGGTTTTCAAATGTTTTTCAAATGTTTCCCAAACTGTGATGTTAATAAAATAACAAAATATGAATCATTTGGTGGATACGATTATTTTGAATTCAGAGAATAATCCTTTTTTTTTTTTTAATCAAATGGTGGTATATAAATGTTATATTGATGATATATTTTCAGTTTATAAACAGGGGTCTAATATTCAATCTTGTCTGCAGTGGTTAAATGGGATCCATCCCACTATTAACTTTACAATATAATAATAATAATAATAATAATAATAATAATAATAATAATAATAATAATTTTTATTTATATCCTGCCTCTGTGCATAGCAATCCATTTCCTTGTAAGATCTGGTGGTTTTTAGGGATCACCAACACAAGATTGCCTTTAGACCTTGCAGGGGCTTTGCTTGATTACAAATCCCATCATTCCCAGCATCTAATAAATAACATTCCTTATGGGCAGGTACTCAGAATTAAGAGAAATTCAGTCTGTGATAATAGACTTTCAAAATGAGGCAGGTGAAGATTTCTTTTTCTAGAGAGGTTATTTCTCAGGAATCTTGCAGCAAAAAATTAAGAAAGACCCAGGAAATAAGGGGCCTCCAAAATGTACAATTATATCTATTAGATTTCTCTGGCAGAGAGGTCTTTAACTACCTCCAACAAACTACAAATCTCAGGATGGGTAGGAATTCTTTAATTACAGCGGGGATTATTTAATTCTAAGAGTTTGTCTCTAGCACTGGGTTCCAGTTCATGTTTCTTAGGCTTCTAATGTGGCAAAAAAGAAAAAAGAAAGAAAGAAAGAAAGAAAGAAAGAAAGAAAGAAAAAGCAAGCAAGTAGATCCAGCAAAGTTTGGTCCAAGGCTGCATCCGCACTGCAGAAATAATCCAGTTTGCTGCAAACCCCCCCCCCCCCCCCCCACACACACTCTGTAGTTTGGGATTTGTAGTTTTCTGTGGCACCAGAGGTCCCTGATAAAAAAAGGCTGGATATCTCACAAAATTACAATTCCTCGGATGCCATAGCTTTGAGACACGGAGGTTAAAACGGTGTCAAACTGGTTTATTTCTGCAGTGCGGATGCAAATTGCCCAAATTGCCGCCGAGAACCCAGTCTTGCGCGACGGAACAGGAGATGGCACTGTGATCTCAGATTTTGGGTTTTTGAGGCATTATAATGCAAAGATCTGAAATCACAAAAAAAGCAAGGAGCCAAGCGGAGCCCCTGAAATATGAATAGGTCTGGAAATTAATTTCAGCATCCTAACCCTTCCTGGCCCTTTGAATAAAATATTTATTAAAGAGGCTCCGAGTGCATTAGCACCGCTAAGAGGCAATCTTCGTATTCATCGTCGTATGCAAACAAGATTCCCTTTGTCCAAATACTGATATCAAAAGATTGATTAAGTCAGTCCTTTGACAGAGATATGGGGTTTTTATTAGGATTCGTCAGACAGCATTTGCTTTTTAAAAACAAAGTTCATTTCATTCTGAAAAGCCATTTAATTAAAACGGACGCATCTGACGTCTAGAACCCACTGGAATCTTCTCCATCCATTTCTTTTCAAATTGCCTTTAGCGGCATCGTTATTTTAGATTTTTTTCCCCCCATTTCATGGTTTTATTCTCAATTCTTCCTGTCTTGTTATTATTAAAGCGGAAACCCCCCCCCCCCCATTCGTTGGCGTTTGGGGCACAGGACCGCCGTGAAAATGGAAAAACTGCAAATGAAAACAACAATAATATATTTTAATCTGAGAAAGCACCTCTCTAGGAATCGCTAGGTCCTCCAGCACAACTCTATGGTCAATTTTTGGCAGAAGTTGACCATAGAATCACACTGGAGGACCTTAAGATGCCTAGAGAAGTCTTCTTTTTAGGAAACACGCTGCAGAAACAATCCAGTTTGAGAGCGCTTTAACTGCCCTGGGCTCAGTGCCAGGGAATCCTGGGAATTGTAGTTTATTGTGGCCCTAGAGCTCCCTCTGACAGCTCTCAAAACTACAGTTCCCAGGATTCCCTAGCACTGAGCGTTTCTCAATCCAGAAAACTAGATTATTTCTGGAGTGTGTTGCCCTATCGCAGGGCCTGGAGGGCGATATTGTTTTAATAATGTATTTTAAACATTTTTATCTTCTTAAAGTATTTGCCATTTTTAGCATGTAATCTGTTTTAGTTATTGTAGTAATTTAATTAATTAAATTAATTAATTAACTATTTGTAAGCTGCTCTGAGAGACTCTGTGGCTGAAGAGCGGGATATAAATACAATAAATAAATAAATAAATAAACAAATAAATTGTTTTAATGAACTATTCTTGTATGTTTTAATTGTATTGTTTTTTAATGTTAATAATAGTAATAATAATAGAAAATAGTAAAATGATAATAAAATATAATAAAAATAAAATATAATAGATATAAGAAAATATAATAAAATAATAAGATAATAAAATATAATAAAGTACATTATTATTATAAAATATAATAACATAATTTAATTATTATTATCATCAAATATTATAATATAAAATAATAATAATAAAATAAACAACGACAACGTTTTTTTGGGAATTTTCTTCAGAAGGGTTTTGCCCTTGCCATCCTCTGAGGCTGAGAGAGTGTGACTTCTTGCCCAAGGCCACCCAATGGGCTTACATGGCCGAGCCAGGATTCGAACCCAGCTCTCTGGACTCCAAAGCTGAAATCACTCTG